ATGGCGCAACATATCGTAATTTATTTGGTCAAAGCCTGGGATTTTAAAGCAGAATCTATTTCAGCAATACTGATATTATTTTCAAGGAAAAGAGCAAGGCGGTCCATGGTATCGGCTGCACGCATGTAAGGTATATTGTTGGAAGAGGCTATGAATTGAGGTGGAACGTTAGATGTTTCCGAAAATTTAGAAATTTTCTGTGCAAATTCTAATGAAATTAAATGTGGGTTCGTGATAACAGTGTTATTTATAGTTAATGAGTGAATATTATAAGGCTGATATGTCCCCGTCAGAGTTTTTATCCCCTTCCATATGTATCGAGTAGAGCGGAGGTGGGCACTTTTTTGCCCGCGCAGCAGCGGGCTATAGAAAAGGAAAAACAGTTTACGGGAGGAAGTGTATGAAAAGTTGCGAAAAAAGTATTAATATCTCCACCGACATCATGCTCATCGCAGTACGGCTGCGGTAGAGCTGCAAAACTATCGATTGAAATTTCGTGATCTTTACTTAAATAAATGACGCTGTGAATTTAACTAAGTAAACTATTTAGAATTTCACGTTTAAGATGCAATATTTTCATTTACATATATATGTACATATCGTCGTCTAAGAAAACGGATGTCGAATGTTACAAAACACGGTTTTGAGAAAATTGACTTTGAAGTTTAAGGTCGAATTAATCCGAAACTGTACGGTAGATTTTTGTAATTTTTGAAGGAGACGTAGTTGGTGTTATTAGTTTTGATTTTCCATATTTTTACATTTAATATCTCTTAACGTTAATGACAAAATTGACTTTTCATTCCGTATACATTTTCGTAAGTAGCGTTTACTCACCACTTTGTTTTGCCCATAAAACATACGACAATACTAAAGTATCTATTTCAACGACGATGGTATAATTTGATGAAAAAACCAGACATATTTATTAAATAATGATAACTTATTAGAAAAAACATAACAAAAACATATTCATGTATTTAATAAAAAATATTTGTACATCTCTTATGCTGTAAATATGTTACGAACATACGTTTTCTTTATATAAAAACAAAAAACAATACTTAAATTCAGTCTTTTGTACATTTTTATTTCTTTAATTTTATTGGAGACTCAGTGCGAGCTAAAATTTAAAAATTTAAAATTTTAAATTTTTTTACTTAATTTAATTTCCAATTTTAATTGTGTCGTTATAGTAGAGGACCATCGAATTGTCGTAAGTTCGAAGTTTTGCGATACATACGACAAATGTTTTATGTTTAAAAAAGATTACATTTGTATGGGAATTTGTCGTATGTGCCGCATACGACAAATGTTTTATGATTTAAAACAAAAGTACGTTTGTATGGGAAGTTGTCGTATGTGACGCATTTTCAGCACATACAACAAAAGGCATACCCAATCATTAATATTATGTAACATACGACAAAATGCGCACGAAATATCTCAAAAACTAATGGAGATATAAAAAAATGGATTGCAGAAATCGAAAGAGCATGTCCAACTTAGTAAATCTGCATCAAAATCCCAAAATCGTGATTTTGCACATTCGCCATCCATTTTCTGAAGCGACGATATGTACAGTGACGGGCAAAACTGTAACATGGTGTAACACTTTTTACTTCAGTCATCGCTATCTTTCCAAGTTCTAACGACTTTCATACTTTTATTGTATGTTATTATTGGTACACCTGTACTTCCTCTCTCATAATGATTTGAAGTCAATCCAGCAACAATAATAAAACCAGCAGACAAAAATGTAAATTAAGGCAGATGTTACAGTTTTGCACTCATATATTTTTAAGAACTTTTTAACAATTTTAACGAGAAAAAAGAACTACTAACACAATGTTCAGTACCCTTTTGCTTGTTTTAGTTTCAGGGTGCGATTTGGCATACCTTATTTTTATCTCTGTAAAACTTCTGGAGGTATATCCTCCATATATCCTTAGTTTGCTTTCTCAGCTCATATACTCGATTATACGGACTTGAATATTAATAAGCTGTGCTTCTAGTTGATTTCGCAAATTCTCGATGAGATTTATGTCCGCGGATTGTGGAGGTCATTTCAAATTAGCAAATTTTCTATTTTGTATCCAGTCTTTGCGAACATATGCAGTATGTTTTGGGTGATTTTTCAGCAGAAACTCTCATTTTTCGACTACATCCTACAAATTTTGTTGAAATATGAACAGATACTGTTCCTTACGCATAATGCGTACTAACGGACCCACAAAATTGTTTAAATACAACCCCAAACTATTATTGACCGACCACTGTGATTCACAGTTTGCCTCACATGTTGCGCATGGGCTTAATTTGGGTCTTTGATCCAATACCATTCCCGGCCATCTGATTGAAAGCAATTAATTGAGTCTTGTGAGACAAAATAACCTTCAATTGAAACTTAAAAATATGTTTTTATTGCATTCTGAAAGGCCTAACATATCCCAATAGGCAACGGTCCGGTTTTCGGGCGACGCAGCAAAATGCTACCACTCTCGCACATATATTTTGGTCAAATTAGCTTTTTTCTTATTTTATGATGCCATTGCGCCAATTTGGCAATTCGTCGCCTCGCTGTCTACTGATTTGCATTAAAGTTTAATACCTTAAGCGCTTCTGTAATAGTGGCTGCATCGCTACTTGCTGCTAAGTTCACAAGATATTGGACCGTAATATTTTTTGATAGACTTCCTTTGCCCTTGGGAACACTTTAGGGTATATTTTTTTTTTATTAATCTAAATATTTTCAAGTAGCAAACTCCACAATTTTTTGCCACTTTCCTGCGGTCCCGCCTTTCCACTGTAAATCTATTATTTACATTTATGGTTCCTGATTAACTATACTATTTACTGGTGATTACTTCTTCAATAAATTACAATACAGAAAAAAGTCATCTGACTTCCAACTAAGTAAAAAATAACTGTAAAATGCAAAACTGAGAGTAAGTGCAAAACTGTAACATTTGCCTTAATTTACATTTTTGTCTGCTGGTTTTTTTTTATTGTTGTTGTATTGACTTCAAATTGATATGAGAGAGGGAGTAGGGATGTACCAACAAGAATATACAACAAAAGGATGAAATTCGTTAGAACTTGGAAACATAGCGGTGGGTGAATTAAAAAGTGTTACACCATGTTACAGTTTTGCTCGTCACTGTATATACTAGCCAATGCCCGCTTGCTTCGCGGCGCCTAATACGATTTTTTGCGTTGGCTAATACAAAAATAGCGTTAAAAGCAAAGGCGTTCTGTAAAGTACACATTTTTAGTTTAAATTGAAACGAATAAAGAGCAGAATCCTCCTCACACATAGGCTAAGAATAGTAGCGCTGTGATACCATATGGAATACTAATCCCTTTCGATGTCATGAGTTTTACCGATGGTCTTATTTCCACCTGTGAGATCTCTGCCAAACGTGCGTAATATTCTTCTATGATCTTGCAACTTCAATATTGGTCCGTAAATCATGTAAGCCAGTAAGCCCACAGGATGAAAAGTTTTCCCGTACATTGACTAAATGAGTCCTGTTATCTCTTAAATATCGTTTTAATGAAGTTAAATACCGTTTTCCTTCTTTTACGGATGTGGTCGAATCTCTCCTTGTCAATTTGCCACTTTTACAATTTACCTTAATATTTATGAACTGGTATCTTTGAGTCTTACTGCTGTACTAACGGCCGCCCCAAGCTATTTCGTCAATCGGAGGTTGGTGCAAGATCGCATTTAGGGTGTATGAGGGCGTCAGGCAAAGGTGCGCTTACGCCATGTTGCGATCTTTACATGCATACTTAAACGAATCCTCCATTTAGCCATATGAGAAGTAAATTCGTCTAAGATGAATATAGGCCAAATCAGACCAAACCTCGTGTGGATTTCTATATATTTCGGCTGCATCGCAATCCATTAGGTCCCTTTTCTGCAAAACCACTGCATGCCATGAAATGAATACGCATTATGAATTTCAATTAGATTTTATAAAATATACAGGGTTCATTTTTAGGAAACGAATTTTTCATCATACAGGTAGCTCACTTTGCGAATTTGAACGAAATCGGTTAATAAATACGACTTTTATAAGTAACTCTACTCCAGCGCCACCAGCGTGTTGTCTAGTAGGCTATAATAGGACCACATATGCAAGGTATAACCTCTGACAATTTGACTGGTTTTTGAGTTTAGTCCAAACAAGGAAAACGGCTATAATTTTATATATATACTAGCAATTACCCGGCGTGCTTCGCTGCGCCTTAAATGTATTTTTGTCTTGTAACTCTCCCCCTAAGCTCTTATGGCCTCATTTACAAAATATTTTTAAAGAACTTTATGAAGTTAGATTTAAAAAAAAAATCCATCTATGAAACATTGTTTATTTATTTTTTTTGAGTTAATATATTTTCGAAGGTAATTAGAAAATATGTAAAGAACCGACTTTCTCTTGGAAATTTAATTTATAATCTTATAACCAGCGTTGCCATTTTAGCCGTTTTCCGGCTAGATTTAGCCGGTTTTGATAGCAACTAGCCGGAGAAAATTCGATCTAGCCGGCAGCCGGTTTGTTAGCCGGTTTGTAAAAAAAAGTTAGCCGTTTTTAGCCGATTTTACTATTTGCATAATTTTCAGGTGCAAAAAGTAAACAAGTTGTTCGAAAGCAATAATGCAGACCCAATGAAGATTTTTAATGAACTCAATGTTNCAAGTTGTTCGAAAGCAATAATGCAGACCCAATAAAGATTTTTAATGAACTCAATGTTTTACTTTCGCATCTATGCTCCCTAGTGGTTATTAGCGCGATCTATGATCTATATGCTCCCCGTTGGAACCATACCTTGCTCCATTTCCTCAGTTTTA